AGTGAAATAGATCCATTTGTTAAACAAACAAGAGAATGTAACCTAAAAGAAGGAATCCTCGCGCCCCATCGTGATGAGCACTCTTTGATGCCATTTTTAGAATATTTGGTGCTATTTCACAGGCGGGGCCAGAGAGGAGCACTTATCTTTCATTGTTATATTCACTATTATTGTAGATAATATAAGTAAGCTTGAACCCGTCAGATACCACGCGCTGCAATGCGCGCGCTGTACCTTAGTTGCTTGAAGGCCACATATTAAACCCGTTTTTTCCCTCTCTTGCTTGGCCGTTTAGCAACCGCTAGGTCTAATTAAAGGCACAGCGGGTGCACTGCAGCGCGCGGTATCTCAGTTTACTTACATTATGTACAACGGTAATTAATACAACAATGAAAGATAAGTGCCCCCCCCTCTGCTATTTAAAAAAAATTCATTTGATCGTTTGCTTTTCTACACGCGTGTACGGCGCGCGTTCTAACCTGTTTGCTCATGTTTTCTGGTGTTTTTCAAAAACAACGCAAGCAAAACAGCGTAGAGCGCGTGCAATATTGACCGTGCACAAAAACAGACGGTAGCAAAAAATTCTAAAAATAGCAATAAAACGATGCACATAGAACGATGGTTACAAGCATGAATCCAAAAGATTCCTTCTCTTAGTTCATGTTCACTCGTAACAGGTTTATCATGGTTATACTATATAATACAGAGAGATAAAATTTACTTTTAAGTCAAAAAGAAGAAATCGAAAACAAGAAGTTCACGGGAGGCTTTTAAGCCTGTGTTTAGATAAAGGTCGGTATTTTCTTTTGATACATTGATGGTTATAAAAACAAAAGCATAGCGGTCATTGTGGTGCCGTTAACAATGGATGCTAATAGCAATACAATACAATACAAGTTTATTTTGCTCACGCACTATTTGGTAGTTACGAGATTTGTCAAGATAAAAATATAGGAAATATAAATAGATATAAGAAGCATAATAGATAAATTCAAAGGTGACATTAAGAGGCTATATCTAGAATCTAATTTAACCAAAAGGTACCATCGCTCTTTTGAGAAGCCGCGATGAAGTAATGTGCAATTATAAAGGATATAATTTTTTTCTTTTTTTTAATTTTGCCAGTTTTTGACCGGAATGCCCCCTTTATGGAAAAGCAAATTAAACGCTTTATTTGGCCAGAAGTAGTTAGAAATATATTTATGATTATAGTTTCCTTGACATCTTGCACTAAAAAATAACTATTCATTCAAGTTCTTCTAACAATATAGGTTTTCGGGGTAAAACAAAARCAATAAAATTCCCTTGTTAATATGAATGAATCGATTTCCCCGGCAAACAAAGGCTTATCCAACTTCCCTAACAATTATGCATACTTTAATATTTGTCAGGAAAGCATGCACACAAATAATTAATCAGATTAATCCTGTGCTCATCAAAACGTGGCTAAAACCTTATAGGGCCCTCACTATAGATATTACTGTCAGTTCTTCGAAGAACAAAAACAAGTCAGTACATCAGCCAACTATTCCATCACTCGTTGTTTCAAGTCTTTCAAAACCTCAAGAATAATGGAGACTAAACCCTCGAAAATCATCCTTGGGTTCAAGTTACTGTTTCTCCTTTGTCAAGTTTCTCCCGTTTTTGGTAAGTAGTTGCAATATCTTTTTAGTGTTTAGCTGTGTGCTGATAAGACCTTTCCGTCTTGGCCTAGATGACCTAAATCGCTATCCCCTTTGGCTCCGAAAGCCTTTTCAAAAATAGGTGTAGCAAATCCAGAAAACATACGTTAAATGCGTTAAATGTCATCAATCTAATGGAATAGAGACTATTTCATTAACTATTCTTTCACGAGAAAAGTAAAATCAGAAAAAGAATTGTGCGACTATTAAAAGTTCAGTGGGGCATTTTACAAATGGGATCGCAACTCACTATTATACTTTATTAGGATAAGTTTGTGCAACTGAAGTTAGTGGCGGGGGATTTGATGGGATCGCAACTATTATACTTTATCAGGATAAGTTTGTGCGACTGAAGTTAGTGGCGGGGGATTTGATGGGATCSCAACTATTATACTTTATTAGGATAAGTTTGTGCAATTGAAGTTAGTGGCGGGGGATTTGATGGAATCCCAACTATTATACTTTATTAGGATAAGTTTGTGCGACTAAAGTTAGTGGCGGGGGATTAGATGGGATCGCAACTATTTTACTTTATCAGGATAAGTTTGTGCGACTAAAGTTATAGTGGCGGRGGATTTGATGGGATCGCAACTATTACACTTTATTAGGATAAGTTTATGTGCGACTGAAGTTATAGTGGCGGGGGATTTGATGGGATCGCAACTATTACACTTTATTAGGATACGTTTATGTGCGACTGAAGTTATAGTGGCGGGGGATTTGATGGAATCCCAACTATTATACTTTATTAGGATA